TGTTAGCTCCATGAGTTGGTTGAAAAATGCGAATCCAGCTGACTTGTTTTAAAATCAGAATCTTATGAAAGAGGTCTTACTAATGCACTCGATGGCTTCATATATGATATTGGCCTCATAGACTGAGGCTAAAGCTTCATGTCCCAGGCAAAAAGTCCTCCCATCCTCAGCTGTTGATAATCCATATAGCTTACGCTCTGATAAAGTAGCATCCAGGACTTCCACAGAGCGGGGAAAGACTACACAGTAGATGCGCTATCATGAACAGGGCTTTTCTGTAACATAAACCAACCCCACAACATAATATAGTTAGCTAATGAAATGCCTCTTAGCCTCAGAAGTAATACCGGGCTTGCTTCCTGCTGTACTTAGCTTGTTAGCTGGACATGCTAACATTTGCAGCTTATTTTAAAGCAGATGTCTAATGTATTCACTACACTTTTAGTTTTTAGTTTTGGAAAGGCTTTAAAAAAAAAAAAACCCACTCTCCCAACTCTTTAAATGCAGGGTATCGCTCTCACTACGGCCCCCGTGTGCACCAGTCTGGGATGTGGAGAAATTCAAAGCTCGACAGACTCGCTGTGCCTGGTTGCAGTTGTTAAGCTCTGATTGGACAATCGCTGGCCGTTCAGGGAAGGGGTTTAGTGAATGGCCTAAACCCTGTTGAGCGAATAAAGCGCTAGTCAGATGGGGTTAACCACCAGTGCAGCACTTTATCACACCTCCTCTTTCTTGTGCCATATTTTCCCATTTTGCTGATGCACACAGCCAAGCTCACTGTTCATCTACAGGGGACAATCGCTGCTGCAGGTCTCTCTGGCTTACTTACCTCTCTAGGTACAAGAAGAACTCCTATCTCTCTCTCTCTCTCTCTCTCTCTTTCTTCCTCTCCCCTCTCCTCCCTCCTTTTCATCCCTCCAACCTTTTAGAGATAATTTGGTTCTGACCCCGATTCTCTGGCTGGTTGGATTTGACGCTGCCACAGCCAAAAGCTGTGGTCTGACTCCCCACCTTCAAAGACACTGCGTTTTCACGCCTAGAAACTGGACTGAACACTGAGTTGCAGGGGCAGCAAATGTGAGACGAGAATGAGTGTGTGTGTGCGTGTGTCTGTGTGTGGTTCTGCATGGCCGCGTGGGATCATGAGGAAGTGCAAGTGTCTATCAAAGGCCTAGACAGGCGGTGTCATTGTGCCCCGGATAGCTCTCTGAAAGCCCATTACGCTGCAGGTTCGTGTGAATTATTGGTTTTCACCACCTCCAGGATGTCAGCCGTTACCGCAGAGAAAGCAGCCCAGGCTTTGTTACTCTTTGACCACATTTTAAACCAGAAACACCACACTCTGCTTGAAAGACCAACACACACTGAAGCCTTCCCTTACACTTCATGTAAAGTCAAACAGGTATATTAGAGTTCCTGTTGATCCATTTGTCTTACAGTTTGAGTTTAACCAAACAGAGGCCCATTTCACAAAAGCCTTCTGGTGAATGGTGGCACGATCGTGTTTCACAAATGATCAGTACTCAGTATTTCAGACTCATTTATTTATTTATATATTAAATAAATAAATAAATATTAACGGCTTACAGTGTGGCATTTGTTTGGATTGGTGAAACATGTCAAAATGAGCAAGCGGAAACTAACTAATGTTGCAAATAGTAGCTTGCATGCTACACATATGGTGAAACTAACTTATTGTTTGTATAGATGTCTTATATTAGCCACATGTTGTTTGCACTATATGTAATGTCTGGCTTTGTCTTCATTAGACTTCATGCACCTGGTTTTCTGTATAATTTACTACATGTATATGCATATTTTGAAATACAGAGATATAAAACATTTCTAAATATCACAAAAATCTTATAGTTGATTATATTTTTGCCTGGACAAACTCATCATAAAATCATAAATTTTACTTAGAGATTTAGTCTCAAATTGAGGTAAAATTCTCATTAGGATCAATTAATTGAAACATCAGCCATGCGTGCTACAGCTTTGTAACTTTCTACAAAGTATAGACTGGGCTAAGGAGAATCTTCCATACACCACAAACTAGTAGATATTATGAAGTCCTTCAAGCTGCAAAATTAATTAAATTTAATAATTTCTTCACATTTCTAAAATGAGCTGCTCCAGCAACAGAAGTTTTGGAGAAACTTGCCAACAAAAAACAGAGCTCAAGGCCTTCGGTCCAGACTGAAATGAAATGAGCAGGTGGAGGGCTTTATAGCTTAAAGATTTGATACGTACCAGATTGGTGAAGTATGTGTATGTTTAATGCGTGTGTGTGTGTGTGTGTGCATGATGCAAAACATGTATTTCTCTGTGAAAACTGAAGCTGCACAGTATAACAGAGCAGTTATTTGGTGTGTGGGTGTGTGTTTGTTTGAAAAAGAGGAGCTCTATTGGCTGTGTGTGCATCGCTCTGTGTGCAGGGGGATATGTGTGTCTGGCTGTGTCTTACTGTGTGTGTGTGTGTGTGTTTGTGCGTGTAAAACACTGCTGTTCTCTCAAAAAAGGTGTGTGTGTGTGCATGTCTGTGTGTACAACTTTGTTTTTATACCTCAGAGGTGAGTCTCTGCAGCATGGAGTGTGTATTTTGTCTATTTCTGTGTGCTTATTGTGTATCTGGTTTTCTTAATAATAAGCAGGCCTGCCGCTCTGAGTTTCCCTGTTATTTAAATCCAGTCAGTGTTTGTTTCCAGCTCTCTAGGAGTACTTTGGAGTGTCTGCAGCAGCAAAGACATAGTTCTTCAGGTGGAGAGCAGTGCTACTGTAGAAAACTGCTGTAGAATGAAGTGTACCAATATATTTTACTCCAACTGGCATTTTCTTTTTAAAGAGGCATAAAGTGAGCTAATATTACTGGTATAGAGATGCACTAAAGTGAAAGAAAAAAGCAGTGAGTTTAAATATTCCTCATGTTAAAATAAAATAATAACTACTGAAACCCATTTTTGCTTGTTCAGGAGTGTCTTGATTGCCTTCGGTCGCGTAATTAAAAAACATGATCAACTGGATTGGGATTAGATGAAAAAAATAAAAATCTCCTCAATTGCCTTGTCTGTTTAATCACAATCCCAGTCCTGCTGTATTGTCCTAAAATTGGGGGCTTATGTATAAATGAGCTACTGCATATCCAATAAACTCCCTTAAAGCTACAGTAAGAGTCAGCACTTTTACTTTGTTTCCTTTAGAATCCAATGTACTGGAGTGCCATAACAACAGAAAAGTCTGTACTGCTTTCACTTAGCTACTAACGTTAGCAACTTAGAACATATTGTGTATCCGGAGGCCTAATAAAAATGTATATACATTTCCTTCTGCATAAAACATTGGCATAGCTGATCATTTCAAAATGCATAGTGTTGATATCTTGCATATACATTATATAGTTTACATGCAATAGGTCACGGTGAGGGTGGATTTTAAAAGCGCCTCCTGCTGGACCAAGTCAAAATACTTCAAACAGTTGCTCTTATAGGAAATATAAAATTTTTAACTTAACCAGCTCATTACAGAATAGAGTACTTAAATATTTCTCCTGTTTCAAATAGGAAGTGACCTTTACATAAAGGAACACTCTATGTGTGTATATACAAAACGAGGACCCACACTTAAAAACATTGCTATATAGAGTTACTAGTTAAGGTTTCTGATGCGATGCTTATGGTAATGCTGCATACAGTAAATGTATCTGTCAAACCGTATAAAAAAAGAGCAGAGTCTTTCAAATGGTACAAATGCATAGAAAATACTCAATATATGAGGATATTTGATGATAATGAATTTATTTACTTCCAACCTCAGTTGACAGCTTCTCAGAATATTTAGTGGAGGGCTCTGACGAAACCTGTGTTGATAAAAGGTGTTGCTGTGTTGCATCTTTTTCCCAGTCCATCTGTTTCTGTTTTTGTCTTGCTCTCTGTTCATGTGTATTTGTGTAGTTTTCTCATCTTTGTCTCTCCGTTTTTGCTGATATCTGTCTTTCTGCCTCTTTGCTGCTTTCATCCATTACAAAGTGACACTTTCGCAACAGAATTTCGCGAATCCAAAGCTGACTTTGATACACACACATAGCAATACATTAAACACACATGTTAGGAATGGGTTACTTGGTGTGATGTGAGAGGGAGAGACCTTCAAAAGCCTTTTAACAGCGCCGTGAATATCTGCTCTGCTGTGGTTCGCCCTGGTGAGGATGAAACACACAAACTGTCAGTGAAGATCAAGTAGCAGGGAAAAATGTCTGCGCGCACACACCCATTAACTAACTGTATTACATGGCAAGGACTCTTCTCAGTTTCATCATCACGCACACACACATATACACACACACACACACACACACACCTCCCAAAATGATTGACAACAAAGAGAGACACACAGCTGTAGTTGTCAAAGAGCATCTTCTCTGCTTTGGATTTAAGTCATTAAAAATGTTATGGAAAAACGTCATACACATACCTATCACATGGAACAGTTAACCTGTGCACGTGCGCACACGCACACAAACACACACACACACACACACACACACAATTTTGTGAGATTATCTATGCTAACACTTGAGTGACTCTCATGCAATTTGCATGCCAGTGCCCTATGATCAGACTGCTAATCTTCTGCCTTAGTTGGTGTCAGGACTCATTACCAGTGCAGCACAGGAAGGGAAGGTGAGTCACAGAGGTGTAAACCGGATGTTGGCTT